GAGCCCTGGCCGAGAGGAGCCCATGCAGTTGGACTGGCCCGAGCCCGGCGCGATGAACGAGGTAGGCTTTGAGGGGGATCGTGGAAGTAGCCCGGGGGTAGCCGACCCCGGTCCGGCTGCAACCGAGTGTGAGCCAATGTCAGTATGTTGCGGTCTGGATACCCCACTGACCAGCAGCGGCAGCAACCGCTGCTAGGGCCCCGGGCTGGAACGCAGTGGAGTGGGTGGGCCTGCGTTCCCCCCTGCCACCCCGCTCACGGGTGGCAGGCTTCCCCCTCACCCAACACTCGGCTACAGAAAGCCTAGGCGTGCCTTACCTGAGCTAAACTGTGTTTGCCCCGCCCTGATCCAGGGCCTGGGCTCTGAACTATTTGCTCGCTCAGCCCCTGCAAACAAGGGCCTGAGCTAAACTGTGTTTGCCCCGCCCTGATCCAGGGCCTGGGCTCTGAACTATCTGCTCGCTCAGCCCCCTGCAACCGAGGGCCTGAGCCCTGAGCTAACTGCCGGCTTTGCTCCGCCCTGCACCAGAGAGCCGGAGCTTCGGGACTAACTGACTGCTTGTCCCCCCAGTAGTGAGTCGGTGTGGCTCCCCTCCTGCCCGGAAGGGTCGAGCCCCGGCTAGGACCGATTACAATCTGCCATTTTGTTGCCCAGTCACCTAGTTTTGAGAGATCCTTTTGTAGCTCTTCGCAGTCTGCCTGGGACTTAAATATCTTGAATAGTTTTGTATCATCTGCAAATTTTGCCACCTCACTGTTTACCCCTTTCCCCAGATCATTTATGAATATGTTGAATAGGACTGGTCACAGTACAGATCCCCTACTATTTACCTCTCTCCATCCTGAAAACTGACCATTTATTCCTACCTTTTGTTTCCTATCTTTTAACCAGTTACCAATCCATGAGAGGACCTTCCCTCTTATCCCATGAGAGCTTACTCTGCTTAAGAGCCTTTGGTGAGGGACCTTGTCAAAGGCTTTCTGAAAATCTAAGTACACTATATTCACTGGATCCCCCTTGTCCACATGCTTGTTGACCCCCTCGAAGAATTCTAGTAGATTGATGAGGCATGATTTCCATTTACAAAAACCATGTTGATTCTTCCCCAACAAATTATGTTCATCTATGTGTCTGACAATTTTGTTGTTGACTATAGTTTCAACCAGTTTGCCCGGTACTGAAGTCAGGCTTACCGACCTGTAATTGCCGGGATCACCTCTGGAGCCCTTTTTAAAAATTGGTGTCACATTAGCTATCCTCCAGTCATCTGGTACAGAAGCTGATTTAAATGATAGGTTACAAACAGTTAGTAGTTCTGCAATTTCACATTTGAGTTCCTTCAGAAGTCTTGGGTGAATACCATCTGGTCCTGGTAACTTATTACTGTTTAGATTATCAATTTGTTCCAAAACCTCCTCTAATGATACCTCAATCTGGGACAGTTCCTCAGATTTGTCACCTAAAAAGAATGGCTCAGGTTTGGAAATCTCCCTCACATCCTCAGCCATGAAGACCGATGCAAAGAATTCATTTAGTTTCTCCTCAATGACCTTATCATCCTTGAGTGCTTCTTTAGCATCTTGATTGTCCAGTGGCCCCACTGGTTGTTTAGCAGGCTTCCTGCTTCTGATGTACTTTAAAAAAAATTCCTATTACTTTTTGAGTCTTTGGCTAGCTGTTCCTCAAATTCTTTTTTGGCCTTCCTAATTATATTTTTACACTTCATTTGCCAGCATTTATGCTCCTTTCTATTTTCCTCATTAAGATTTAACTTCCACTTTTTGCCTCTCACTGCTTCTTTTACTTTGTTGTTTAGCCACGGTGGCACTTTTTTGGTTCTCTTACTATGTTTTTTAATTTGGGGTATACAGTTAAGTTGAGCCTCTATTATGGTGTCTTTAAAAAGTTTCCATGCAGCTTGCAGGGATTTCACTTTTTGCACTGTGCCTTTTAATTTCTGTTTCACTAACTTCCTCACTTTTGTGTAGTTCCCCTTTCTGAAATTAAACACTACAGTTTTCCCCGCAATCACAAGGGCTAGAAATCTACTTTTTTTGTTTCTAAGGAAAGCTGAAGTTGTTTTATAATCACATGATGCCCTGATGTGGGGCTTCAAGAAAAACACCCTTTATTGTGAAATTCATGATAAAATTGACAACACTGTTATATGACCAAGAACCAAAGCAGTAATCCTGGGTTTGGACCTGAGGAATAGATTTTGTTCCCTCCTGAAAGAAGAAGGGGTTTGGATTCAACGCTCTAGGTTTGTCCCGTTGTTTGCTTTTAACATCTGGACTGTGGGAGGCTTGGAGAATCTTTGTGTTAAATTTTGCTAAACTTGTGGAGACGGCCATCTGTGATCCTAATAACAGCCAGGCTAGAAAGTGCCCTGAAAGTTTACAATACGAGGAACAAGAATGGTCTTTTACTCAGAGCCTGTATACAGAGTTATAGCTTAAAAGACTGAAACTACTGAAGATAACCAGATTTTAAGATTTTAACCGGGGTTTAAGCCTGAATAGTGCTTTTGGGATATGTCTACACTGCAGGTGAGAGCATGCTTCCCAGCCCAGATAGACAGGCACACGCTAGCGCTGCTCAAACTCAAGCTAAAAATAACAATATGGACATTGTGGCACACTCTAGCCACCAGAGTGTGGTCGGGGGCCCAGGCAGACTTGGACTCAACCAACCAGCTCATGCCACTACCCGTGCCTCAACATCCACACTGCTATTTTTAGCATGCTAATTCAAGCAGAGCTAGTGTACGTCCTTTCTAGCCCAGTTGGGACTCACACCTCCTGGCTGCTGTGTAGACATATCCTTGGGGTCCTAGCCTGTCTTGCAGACTTTGTTCAAAAGGAATTTTGATGTCAATGCAAGTTGTTTTGTCTGAGTAAGGGACTCCTATAATGGGCCCTTGAAATGTCACTTAAACAGTAGCAGCACATGCTTGAGGGGAGGGGGGCGGAGGGGCTATCCCATTTGCCTACATGAATTGTCAAATGAAAGCTGTTTCCTGCCTTCACTAAGAGCCTAATCCCGGTCCCACTGAAATCGATGGAAGCTTTGCCACTAATTTGAAGCGGTGAAGGATCAGAGAATGGAACGGCTGTCGAGTACGTAAACTGTCATTTACTCAGAGGGCATTTTCCATGCAGCTGTGAGGGCTGCTACTAGCTGGGGACTGAGCCTGAATTCGGGGAATGTAGAAAAGCTGGGCAGCAAGCAGACACTGTCTCCTGTTAAGGTCAATACCAAGATTTATTACCTATGCATGGAGAGTATTTTTAATACATAAAATCCCAGGTCTTGCATAGGTACAGGGAGATTTTTCCATGAGAGCACTAAAAGATATGGAAAATATTCACCCTGAAAGTGACACATGCTGACTGTATGTATAGCAGATCCCCACTGATACACACACACACACACAGAGAGAGAGAGAGAGACACACACAAGCCCTTGCTGCTCACTATGGCTCTGTCAACACTATGACCAGCCGCAGAGGCATGGCTTAGCCCTGCTGAGTACAAGCCCACCTGAAAAGCAGTGGGTATGTGACTCCACTCCTGTACCGGTGCTACCATGACTACAATGCTATTTATACACACCCTAGCTGGATGAGAACTAACACGAGTATATGTACATGAGCCAGGGAATCGCATTCCCTCACTCGTTGTGTAGCTGTAGCCTAAAGATTTAACAGCAGGTGCTGTAGAAAGATCTCAGATTTCTGAATATATTGCTGGAGGTGTTCAGACCCCACAGTGATAAGTGTGGTACAAGTGGCCACAGATAGAGAATAGAGACCGGTAATTTACTAGTACACAATGAATTATTATAGTAAAGAATAAAAATGAAACAACAGTTTAATTTGCAGTGGTCTCCCAGCAGTTAGTAGGAGTTACGGGCTGCATGTGAGTGGTTCCTGGTTATACAAGTAGTCCCCTCGACTTCAATTAGGGCCTGATCCTGTAAACCTTTACTTGCGGGAGTAGTCCTAACAAAATCAAGTACAGGACTCACATTGCAGGATCAAGCTTTTACTGATTTCAGTGATGCTACTTGCATGAGTGCAAAGTTGCAAGACTAGGTCCTTAAGGTAGTTCAGCTGTGCTTTGATTTAGAGAGGGGCTGATCATTGTGTGAATAAAGAAAGAGAACAGCAATCAAGTGGAAAAAATTTCCAACTTACATGTAATCAGGAGCTATCAGCACCGTCACAAAATAAAACAGCCTGTCAAGGAAAACAGCCTAATACCTACAAGACACCCCACAAACTATTCTTCCAAAAACTCAGGTGAAGCTGAATAATAAACAAATACAAGTCACTATGCTTCTGCCCAAAAGATAAACAGCCTGTCACGTGAACTTCCCACAGAGAATCGACCCAATGCAGCCACCCACAAAGACCTAGCCAGGCGTAAGGTGACCAGACAGCAAGTGTGAAAAATCAGGACGGGGGGTGGGGGGTAATAGGAGCCTATATAAGAAAAAGACCCAAAAATCGGGACTGTCCCTATAAAATCAGGACATCTGGTCACCCTAAGCCAGGCGTTCTCACAACAATGTTTTTGGTGGCCTCAGAGTGTGGCCACCAACTCTTGCTGGTGGCCACTCAGGCAATTTTTCCTAAAATACTTAATTAACTTTATGAAAAACAAATAAATATGCACATAGACATGTCCAAATCATAATAACTTATTTATGGAGGGGTTTTTTGCAGACTCAATAATAAAAATAATGTACAGTCGCCTCTATTCTTTACTGGACCTAAACAGACTAGAAACACAAATAAGGTGCTTTGCATGTTCTTGTCTTTTTTTTATTGTTGTTTCTTTTGCTTTTTTGGTTGCATTTTTTTAGCCTTGCTAGCTAGTAAGTCTGCTTCTGTGAAAAGTGATATCCGTAGGTTTGTTAATATCACTTTTCACAGCAGCAGCCTTGTTAACTAGATGGGAGGCAGCGAAAGTGATATTAACAAACATTCAAATATCACTTTTCCCAGCAGATTTACTCAGCCCTTTGGATGGAGCCTGCCGCAGTGCAGCCAAAGCCTGGAGCCCAAAGCCCCGCGGACAGAGCCAGTGGCAGGAGCCCGCTGCTGTGCAGCCGGACCCTGCCATCCGCCACCCCAGGGCTGAAGCCAGAAGCCTGAGTCCCACCGCCCCCGGGAAGGTGGGCAACTCACACCGGCTGTCTGCTCCTCTGGTGTTTGTGGCTCCAGAGGGAGGCAGGGCCCAACCCCTCCTGGCAGCCCCAGAGGAGGGGCCACTGCTTTGCCCCTTCCCCCCAAATCACTACCCAAGAAAAGCCCCTGGCAGCCGAAACACTGACCTAGACCCTGTATTTGTAACCAGGGAAACTTCCTTTTAACCTACCTGGGCTAGCTCTGGCCTACCCTGTCTTCTATTCCCTGGGCGGTCGCCCCTATTGTCTGCTGCAAGACAAATAGTGAAGAAGAAGCATCGCCCCATGACTGAGAGCTGCTAACAAAGTCAGTGATGTACCTTGTTTTCACCTTCTTTTACAGCCAGCATCAGATCATCTTTGATCCCTTTCTGGCAGTGCTCACACGTGCAGTCAAAATAGTACTGCTTCTGCAGCTGCTTCCGCCGCTCTTCGCTGACGTTGAGGAAATCGACATAGGAGACAGTCAGCTCTTCCCCAGGTGAGATCTTACCCAGCGCACGCAGCTCGATTCTGGTTTCAGACAAGAAGAGATGTGGAATTAGAAAGTGACATCTCAAGTCCAGAAAAACTGTTTGCAAAACGGAAAGGGACAATTTCCAGGAAAGATCCTGCCTCCAATAAGCAAACTGTTGTCTTAAAGGACCACTTTAACCCTTCGAATACTGAAGAAAATACACATCTGTGCAGCACTTCAGCTCTTCTAAATCACACTACAAAACGCCTCGTCCAAACCCTTCGCCGCCTCTTGCCCCTCTCTCTGTCCCAACCAGAAATTCACTTGAAAGTAGTAAATGGCCTGAATTGTGATATTCGGATCTGGATCCACTTATATAGTTAGGGGCTGAATCGGAGGTACAAACTTATTATGTTTAAGGGTAGTTGGATGTGGATCTTTGGTTCCAGGCCATTGCTGTGTCCTGGTTTACTGGGGAATCTCCTCAAATGAAGACACTGACACTTGATAGTACCCAGCTACTACTAAAACTAGCCATGTCTGCACCCTGTGAATATTCACAAAGCACTGACTAAACGGCCTCCCCACCCTCACCCAGGCCATACTGGAACTCAGTGTAAAATGTGGGGTGGATTCTTGAAAGGTGGGAGAGACTCTTTGTTTTTTCCGAAGCCCTGGATCAGGAATCTGCAAGTGACTTTCATGTCCCTTCACCCATCTCTACTCAAAGATTTAGCAAACCCTTCAGTGAAGATGGCCATGCTTCAAATGTACAGTGAGGCCAATCTCATGTGGGCTTCAGGTTTCCTAACAAAACTGTCCCATGTCTCTAACTGCCAGCATGTTACTATTGTCTTTACTGACCATACAGAAAATACCAATTGCTACTACAGTATTCTGGTGAAAGCTACAGAATGATGCCACCCCACCCCTTTAAAGAGCACTTTGCAGCTTGGTTTCATCCCCTAGCATGTGTTTAAAAGCTCTGGGATACTCAAAAGTCCACCATAGTTTGTTTCACTGGAGCAGGCCAAATTCCCCTCTGCTTTACACTGGTATAAGCCCACTGAAGTTAACACTGCATTGGTGTGTCTGAGAGGAAAATTGAGCCCAGCAGGGTTACTATCGAAGGTGGGGAAAGCTCCATCAAGTGACTGTAAATAAGATCCTCGGAGATGGTTAAAAGTACTAGGTTGTTTATATATATATATATCCTTTATTCTACCCTTTTTGACCCTTCCCCCCATCCACCTACTAGCAACTCTGGCCATCCTTAGCACTAGATCACTACATTTTTGGGAACAAAGCCCCAGGGCTGTTCCTGCAATGCCAGTTAGTGGGCGAAATGTATTTGTGCATTGCTAAACATACTTGCATATCAGCAAAACGGAGCTAGTCCAGTGACCGGATCTACAGTACATTTTACCTTGTTTTAATCTATCACCATGCTCCCAATCCTGCTATTACTCAGCTGGTTAGTTGCATGACCCATCACTGCCTTGAGAGCAGCAGTAATGACATTAGTTTGTAAACTGCAGAGCTAAATGGAGCAGCACACCAGACCTGAGCGGGAGGAAAGTGGGGCCATGGGAACTGAAACAATTCAAATAGTTATCCTCTTTTACTAAAGGTTTGAGCCCGTTCCTATTGAAGTCAATAGCAACATTCCCATTGACTTTAGCAGTACAGGGTAGTTCATATGAGAATAAACAGTGGCACCTAATGCAAATACAGCCAAAAGCATACCCGGGGAATTTTCAAGGGATGGAGCAGATCTACTTCAGTGATTTTCATTACTGCATTTTCCCAAGAGGATTAAAATTTGCGCAGGATAACTATGTTTTTTGACCATAACTATAAAGTGGGTTCTAGCCCACGAAAGCTTATGCCCAAGTAAATTTGTCAATCTCTAAGGTGCCACAAGGACTCCTTGTTTTTTGTTGTTGTTTGTTTGTTTTTATGCAGGGGTTGCAATTCTGAATCTCTCAGCCATAAAATTCTAGAGCTGCTACCTAAGTTACTCATCCTGTGCGGCTGGCCCTGACCACCTGTTGGCATTAGATGATATCAACAGGCTATTTCATACTAGACTCATCACTGAACATGCCATCAAAAAGGACAGCTGTTAGTTATGTCACAAGAAAGTACTACATTTACACAGAGTAAGGTGCAACCAGCCATGCGTGACTCTAAGGAGAAAATGCATAAGGTACAGTATCCATGGTGAAGATTTACATATATGCACATCCTTTTTCAGCCTTAGTGGGGCCTTAACTAAGGCCAGTCATAAACTTGGAGAAACAAAATCAAGCTTTTGAACTCTGATAATGCCCCGGTAGTCCAAGCACAGTAGACGTTTAGGTATTTTTAACCAGCCAGCCGTACCATAGAAGGAACTGGCAAATTTTGGGGGAAAAAGTAGAAATTCAAGGAATTGTTTGGAACTATACAGTTACAGAGACACTGTCTGCTTAATAAGGGCTCAAAACAGGGTTTTTACAAGACTTTAAGATCAACAAAACTGCTCCCACGACCTTCCCGTCTTCCTCCAAAATTCCAATGAACTTGCAGTGTTTGTAACCGGAACATTGCCCTAATTGTGCTGACACAAAACAGCCAGAAAATGAAGTTGACCAGATATGATGTCTGTAAACAAACGTGAAACTCACTAGTCTATTTTCATGGAAATGCATTGAGAAAACAAACGACATTAATGGTGAAAATCATTTAAAAATATTTCAGTTCTAATTTATGACAATGAATTGCCTGCTTGTTTTGGATGCAGATCGTATTGAAGTCAATGGAGCTATGCTGGTTTACATGTGTTGAGATTCTGGTTGATATATGTTAAGACAAGTGTCCCTTTAAACTAAACAGATTGCAAGATATCAAGTGCAATGAGGTAACCAGAGAATTTTAAAAAAAATACACCTTTAAAAATCCTTTTAAAACACCACACAGAAAAATATTTTGAACAGGTAACAGTGGCATCGTAAAAAGGCAGAACAGGAACCACTGTAAAGGTAAAAAATGGATGACATCTAAATCTCAGTGTAGTGCCACTGTAGTCAGTGCATCCAGAGGGAACTGTTTGTTACAAAGAAACACAGAGTATTTAGTTTGTCAGTAATGCAATCACTTCTCATCTCATAATAAACCAGGTTTTCTTGCAATTATTTGGGGCTGGGCAAGGTTAGCGAGGCCTTGCTGGACTTTCATGCTCTTTCTGTAGTTGAGAGAACAGGAGTGAAGAGTGCAGGAAGGGAAATACTGAAGCAGGGCAGGGGAAGGAAGGAATGAGGAGACAGAGAGGGCATTAACAAGTGGCAGGTCTGAGCATACTGAATAGTGTCAGCTTTTTTAAAAATCTACTACAAAATGCAAAGGGAGGCTTTGGGTTTAGTGGGGCTTTACACATGGGGGGACGGGGGGAGGGAAACATTTACATTCCGAGAATGGGGAGAGTGAAACTATCCACAAACCGAGGCAGCTTCAAGCCTCATCATGGTTGCTTGTGGCTTTTAGTTAACACAGGGTCAGAAGGGAAGGTCAAAGGGGAAGGATTATGCTTACAAGACCAACCCACCTCATCTGTGTGTGGAACATTGATCTTACAGCCTCATGACTGAAAGACAAAACAGACATCGGCAGTTTACACAGGTACACATACGACACAAGCAAAATGGAATCGGCACATACAGTATATGGAACAATAGCTGCTCACGGTCTGGGGGACATACAGGGGTCCCAGGGACAGACACGTATCCAGTTGCAGGGTGGAGTCTGAAGCAACGTAGCTCTCTGCTGTCACTATACAGCTGCTGTAACCGAATCGGCTATTGGTGGCCTGGGGCACTTTCAGCTGGCAGCTGTCCCGGCACTGTGACTTAAGGAGCATTCTGCACAAGACCGCATGTGAGTGCAAGAGGGAATCAGCTCTGTCTGCAGTTAGTTTAGCCGTGGACAGGTGTTATCTGCTAGGAACTGGGCATATATGGACAACCTCAGTCACTGGATGAGAGAGACTCATGTTTTGCAACATTATGGAAAGAATGAATCTGATTTTTTTCCATAAATCATGAATCACTCCATTGACACCAATAGATATACACTGGCTTAAAACCAGCATGAAAGGAAAATCGGGCCCAGTTATTAGAGACATAGAAATGATCATATCTGATGAGCCCCATTAAAAATAATGGCAAAATACCCATTGACTGTCATGGGAGCAGGCCCCATTACCTATTACTGGTTTCAGAGGAAGGTAAGAAACCACTCTAATGCACCTGGCCAATTGCAAGAGGGGTGGAGAGTGTCCTTCCTGACTCCACCGAGTGGTAAGCAGATGTCCTGAACATGATATTTGTTCACATGTTTACCCACTTTGCAAGTCTTGGTAAATTCATTGAGGGGGGGAGGGGGGGAAACTGCACAGAGATCTGGAGAATACCAGTGTCTGGGACATTTTCTTTGAGAGGGGATTTGGGAGAGCAGTAACTAACCAGATAATAAATCATCTGTAAAGTCATGTTTTAAACCATCTTAAATGTATGACTTTCCCCTCCACATTTTCCAGGGAAGTTAATTCTGAAACTCAGCTGAAGCTGCCAGCTGCAGTGCCCCTTGGTTTGCCATATGAACACTTGTTTCCTAAGCACTGTACTGAGACCTCCAACTCACTCCACACTGGGCCCAGGAAATCTAGAGCTAAAATAGTAGTAGGCCTCAGGACCCATGAGAAACAGCAATGTTCCAAGCAAAGGAGCAGATTCTAAGCTCAGACATGTGGTGGGCGTTGATGCGTGTCTATGTAACCAACTGCTAGTGTGCTAGCACATTGCTAGTGTGCTCACACTTCCTCAGCACAGCCCAGAGTATGGGGACCCAGGAGACCTGTCTGTGGCAGAACCTCACTGATGTCACAATACAGAGGGGCAGGCTCTGACAAGCCCATGGAGTAGGTGCACTTCCCTGTGCCTTGCAGAGGCCAGCTCCAGAAGGAGTCCTTGCCCATGGCTGCACAGTCGGCATTTGGGAGCAAGGTGAGGGGAGACCACTGGATCAGCTGTCACATGGGTGCTTGGGCCATCGCTCCCAATGGAGAGGGATACAGGCAGCGTGGAAGCTAGTCCTACAGCTGTGGCTGGAGTAGCAAGCGTGGAGAAGCTCCACTGCCATCCTGGGAGCAGAGAGGAAAAGTTCCTGCAGCCCAGGCCCTGGGTAGATCTGCAGTGTGCAGCCCAGGTCTGTGCAGCCGCATCATGTGGCAATGGCAAATAATCACAGAAGGAGTCACTTTCTTCTAACACTGAACAAGGACATTAATTAGGAGCAGGGAAATAGCATTGTCCTGAAATCTACTCTTTCCTGGTTTCCCTGGAGAGTTTCTGTCTCAGAACATCCCCAGCCCTCTTCCTGCCACAGATTAAAGAAACAATGCATGTCCCCTCATTCACGGGGGAGGATTTGGGGTTTATGCACAGTAGCGGAGTCCTAAAGGGACAGGCCAGTGTTTGCCACGCATCTGAGATTAGAATGCAGCTCAAAATGTTCTCCATCTTTTGAAGGCAAACACTTGGCATGACAGATAGCACTGCAAGTAACCCAGGCCCAGTGTGCAGTGCCTATTGAAAGTGAACTGAAATGCCTTTTTAAAAAACATTCAGTAACAGAATGTGGGCATGGGTGTACATAACTGCCAAAGAGCCAAGATCAGATGTGAGAGTTGTTGATCTCATTACTTCGCTATCTATCTAGGTTCTTATAAGGTCCCATCACCATGACATAGGTCTGATCCGAAGTCAATGGAAAGACTCCCACTGACTCCAAGAGTCTTTGGATCAGGCCCTATCTCCCCAAATCTGACAGTTACAAAGCAGTTTCCTGCTCTTTTCTCATTTCCCATTGGTGGGCGTAGAAGCTTGAATGGTCAGCAGATGCCATGCGGGTTACAGTCCGATTCCTGGCATCCCTAAAGCTCCCAGTTTTGGTGCACGAGGAAGATAATTAAGGGGACACTGTTAGGTTGATTTAGGCCCAACATTTAGTTTTTGTGAAAACAGGATGTGACAAACCCTACGAACGATACAGCCATTCTGAGGTTTTCTTATTTTAATTAAAGTGACAGCAGTTTTTGCTTGGATTTATACACTGTGTGCCAGATCCCCAGTTAGTGTAACTCAGCATAGGCCAGTTTAAGTTAATGGAGCAATGCCCATTCACACCAGCTGAGGATCTGGCCTTCCTTATATGTTAAAATCTGCGGGCATGATCTCAAGAGGTGCTGAACACACACACTCCTCCCATTGACTTGGCTGGACAAATGTTCTGGCAGCTGGCAACCTACCAGCCCTGTCCAACTGGTCTGCTGGTCTGTGTTTTCCATTGGAACTTGCACAATCCCTTTCAGTCCCGGCTATTATTTTTAGGTGACCTCCGGAGGAATTGTGGGTGCTCAGCACCATATTTACATGAGGGTCTCAGTTCACATACATCAGTCACAATTTATATTAAGGTTCCATTTATAAATGGTTTATTAAGGGTTAATAAATGATTACTAGATATTATAAGCATGCCAGACACATGAGTATTTTGTGTTATAGATGGTTATAAACTCATCAAGGTGGTTACAAGCCACAGTTATAAGCAACCTATTGCCCTGGACTCTTATAACAATTGCTTTACCATAATCATCCATTCACTGTAAATTATTTATAAGTGGAACCTTAATATAAAGTGTAACCCATATGTCTTGTTACTATTTTACTCCATTTGAGTGTTATGGGCCTGATCCAAAACCCACTAAAATCAATTGAAACAATGGCTTCAATGGTTTGGACCAGGCCTTCTAGGTGTCTTTTGCATATTTGTTTTGTGCTCCAAAAAACAACAACAACAACAACAAAAGACACAAAAAGCAGCAGCCCTGCAGCTCACCACTAAGGGGTCTGGCTTTCCTGTGTCTAATATTTTGTTTTCCACAACCAAGCCAGAAAAAGAGGAAACCAAGGGATTTTCCCAAGGTGCACAACGTGAGGCTTGGGACCAAATCTGGAAAATGAGTCAAGCATTGGGGCAAACGTTAGAATGGAAATGGACTCACTTGCCGTTGTTGAATATGACGGTGCAGTTAGGCCAGCAGTCATGGTTCACCAGGCAGAGATTGGGGAAGACGCCCACGCCGACAGCCTGCAGTCCCCTTTGGTCACTCAGGGTGAAGCCATTGCAGTTTATCTACTCCCCAAAACATAGGCAAAAAAAAAGTATTAGGGGAGGAGAATAATGGTGAAATCTTGGCCCTATTGAATTCAACGGGTGTTTTGCCATTGACTTAAATGAGCCCCAGATAGCACCCTAGATTTTGGAATATTTCCCACTGATTCTTCATAAAATGTGTATTTTCTGTGCTCCAGGCATAGGGGCGTGGCCTTCAAATTTTGGGAACAAGGGAGAGATACACACAGGGAGTGCTAGAAACAGCATCCTTTAGCCTGGACAAAGCACGAGAAAGTTCACAATGCAGAACTCTAGCAGACAGACTGCATGATCTAGTGAGCAGAGCGGAGCGAATACGGCAAAATACTGTCTGCTAATATTTATTCCCATTTGTAAATACTTTTGCTTTGAGTGTGTTCAAGCCCCTTTTGTGTTCACTTTCTGCAAATATTCCAGCAAACGTGTCGCGTGGGAAAAGGGACTTTTAAGCAATTTGTGCAGAACAGCCACAGGAAGCAAATTCCAAACTTGTGAGAGTACCTGTATCAACCTAATTCTACAGGTTTCAGAGTAACAGCCGTGTTAGTGTGTATCCGCAAAAAGAAGAACAGGAGTACTTGTGGCACCATAGAGACTAACAAATTTATTAGAGCATAAGCTTTCGTGGACTACAGCCCACTTCTTCAGAACACACTTCTTCGGAAGAAGTGGGCTGTAGTCCACGAAAGCTTATGCTCTAATAAATTTGTTAGTCTCTATGGTGCCACAAGTACTCCTGTTCTTCTTTTTGCGAAGTGGGCTGTAGTCCACGAAAGCTTATGCTCTAATAAATTTGTTAGTCTCTATGGTGCCACAAGTACTCCTGTTCTTCTTTTTGCTAATTCTACAGGCTACTCTCACCCAATCTGAGAACACAACAATGTCACGTGACCTCTGTATCCCAATAAAAATAACCCAGTTCGTAATGACTTTCGCCTATCACATCCTGGCAACTCCCAAATGACCGACAAACTGAGAATTATTTGCAGTCATTATTCAGTGACTAATTTCAGTATCAAAAAACATAAGAAGAACAGGAGTACTTGTGGCACCTTAGAGACTAACAAATTTATTAGAGCATAAGCTATATGCATCCAAAGAAGTGGGCTGTAGTCCACGAAAGCTTATGCTCTAATAAATTTGTTAGTCTCTAAGGTGCCACAAGTCCTCCTGTTCTTCTTTTTGCGGATACAGACTAACACGGCTGTTACTCTGAAAAAAAACATAAGGTGTCCTAAGGCAATTCACAGACAGAAAATGAGGGGAAATCCGTCAAATGAACTGTTCACTAGGAAATAATTCACTCAACTACTATCTGTTTTATTTCCTTTCCTGGCCTCCCTGTTCCTATCCTCCAGCCAAGGACAAGCAGAGTGCAGTCTAGCAGTTAGCAGAGGTGAGAGGGAGTCTGGACTCTCTTATTCCTGCCAGTGACCCATTGGATGGGTTCCCTCTGCTGGAGCAGCACAGAGGGAGCAGAGACTGGCTGCATCCCCCTAGGTGGGGATTCCCCCAGCAAACTGAGCGTCAGCATAGCCAATTCCTATGCAACCCTCCCATCGGCCCCTGGTGCAGAGAGAAGGAATCACTGGAGCACACCCTGTCCATCTATCCTCAGCTGGCGACGGTTCATAGAAGCATAGAATATCAGGGTTGGAAGGGACCTCAAGAGGTCATCTAGTCCAACCCCCTGCTCAAAGCAGGACCAATTCCCAACTAAATCATCCCAGCCAGGGCTTTGTCAAGCCGGGCCTTAAAAACCTCCAAGGAAGGAGACTCCACCACCTCCCTAGGTAACGCATTCCAGTGCTTCACCACCTTTGGGACTCTTTATGTTACAGCATCCTCATGTCGACTCTCATCAGTACCAGGGCCAGGCAGAGAATCAGAGCCATAACTGGTTCACTGAGGCCCACAGGCGCCGACTTTCTCATTCCCTTGGGGATGCTCGACCCCTGCTCCGCCCCAGGCCCTGCCCCCACTCCACTCCTTCCCCCAAGGCCCCACCCTGCCCCACCTCTTCCTGTCCCTACCCTACCCCCACCCTGCCTCTTCCTGTCCCTGCTCCGTCCCCACCCCACACCGCCCCTTCCCAGCCCCGCTCTGCCGCCACCCCACCCCCTTCTGCCTCCTCCTCGGAATGTGCCCACCCTTGCTCTGCCCTCTCCCTCCCAGCGCCTCCTGCGCACCGCTGAACAGCTGATCCACAGCAGATGGGAGGCGCTGGGAGGGAGGGGGAGGAGCTGATTGACAGGGCCACCGGTGGGTGCTGAGCACCCACTTTTTTTTTCCATGGGTGCTCCAGCCCCAGAGCACCCACAGAGTCAGCGCCTATGCTGAGGCCTCCCTCTCTGCTATACCAAGAAGAGCTCAGTTTACCACTGGGCAAGTCACTTGGACTCTCTGTGCCTCAATTCCCCATTTACTGATGAGGAACTGAGGCAGAGACTAAATGACTTGCCCAAGGTCACACAGGAATTCTGGTATTGGGGGAAACGCCTCACTGTTCCAGAGCGGTAGCCGTGTTAGTCTGTATCTGCAAAAACAACGAGGAGTCCTTGTGGCACCTTAGAGACTAACAAATTTATTTGTGCATAAGCTTTCATGGGCTAAAACCCACTTCATCAGATACATAGAGTGAAAAATACAGTAAGCAGTATATATATCACCGCACATGAAAAGATGGGAGTTGCCTTACCAAGTGGGGGGTCACTGCTAACGAGGCCAATTCAATCAAGGTGGAAGTGGCCTATTCTCAACAGTTGACAAGAAGGGGTGAATGTCAACAGAGGGAAAATTACTTTTTGTAGTGCTAACGAGGCCAATTCAATCAAGGTGGATGTCGCCCGTTCCCAACAGTTGACAAGAGGGTGTGAGTGTCAACAGAGGGAAAATTACTTTTTGTAGTGACCCAGCCACTCACAGTCTTTATTCAGGACTAATTTGATGATGTTCAGTTTGCAAATTAATTCCAGTTCTGCAGTTTCTCATTGAAGTCTGTTTTTGAAGGTTTTTTTTGTTGAAGAATTGCTCCTTTTAAGTCTGTTATTGTGTGTCCAGGGAGATTGAAGTGCTCTCCTACTGTTTTTTCCATGTTACAATTTTGATGTCTGATTTGTGTCCTTTTATTCTTTTGTGTAGAGACTGTCTGGTTTGGCCAATGTACATGGCAGAGGGGCATTGCTGGCACATGATGGCATATATCACATTGGTAGATGTGCAGGTGAATGAGCCACTGATTGTGTGGCTGATGTGGTTAGGTCCTATGATGGTGTGACTAGAATAGATATGTGGACAGAGTTGGCAATGGAGTGTTGCAGAGATTGCTTCCTGGTTAGTTGCATCCAAAGAAGTGAGGTTTTTACTCACGAAAGCTTATGCCCAAATAAATCTGTTAGTCTTTAAGGTGCCACCAGACTCCTTGTTGTTTTTGTAGATACAGACTAACACGGCTACCCCCTGATACTTGACTTCCTGGTTAGTGTCAATCAAGGTGGAAGTGGCCTCTTCTCAACAGTTGACAAGAAGGGATGAATGTCAACAGAGGGAAAATTACTTTTTGTAGTGCTAACGAGGCCAATTCAAGCGGAGTGCCCCAAGGCTCGGACCTCGGGCCGGTTTTGTTTAATATCTTTATTAATGATCTGGAGGATGGTGTGGACTGCACTCTCAGCAAGTTTGCAGATAACACTAAACTGGGAGGCA